AAAAGAGAGGGAGAAAAGAATCAGACTTTTAAATGAAGAAGGGTGGGAGAGGGGCTGGGGAAGAGCTGAGGCGTGGGTTCTTGTGTTCCCAGGGGAAGGGCCTGAGAAGTCCCCCCCCCCGCCCCCACCAGGGGTCAACAGGAGGAGGGGACTGAGGAAGCCTGGAGATGCAGGGGGCTGGAGAGAGGGGCTCAAGTGGGAAGGGGAATGGAGTAGGCCAGGCCAGGGCTCCCATCTTCCCTCACCTTTCTTCTGGAACTGAGCAGCATACTGGGCAAATTTGCCCTTTTCCTTCTCCAACATCTGGTATAGCTGCTTCACAAATTGGTCCCCTGGGAGGAAGCAGGGTGGTGCTGAGTGCTCTCCTTGCCCCAGGCAGCAGGTGCAGGATCAGACACAGTCTACCTAGGCAGGCATTTCACTACTGGGTTGTTGCTGGGGTGGGACAGACTCTTCTGGATTCAAGGGATCCTCCTTCCTCAGAGCACCGTGGACTATGGGGCTCGAGCTACCTGGAGGGCTGGCATTCCCCTTTTTGCCTTCTCAGGAAGGGGCACAGAAATCAAGTACTTCACACAGTGCCAGTCACTGGGCTAAGCAATGCACAGGTATCAATCCATCTAATCCTCCCAGGAGCTGAGGGAGGAGGGCACTGTGATGCTGTCCAGTGTAGAGCTGAAGAAACTGCCCAGTTTCTTGCTCAGGGCCACATGAGTAGGAAGTGGCAGAGCCAGAATTTGAACCTAGGAAATCCTGCATCACACCAGTAGAGAGGCAACACTGATAGTAATAGATTCAGGACCCCCCTCCCAGCTCTTCAGTGCATTAACCTTTTACATTACTGTCTGTGATGCGTTTCAGCTCCTTCAGCAAACTCTGAGATGCCTTTTCCAGTGTGCTGTTATCTGTGAGTGGATATAGAACCCCATGTTCCACCTTTGCTGTCTTAGATTTTCTTTGTACAAAATAGAATAGCCATGAGTCCGCCAAACAAGCCTAGAACTAGTTAAGGAACCAACTGCACCCTTACTTTCAAAGAGTTGTTTTATTACATAAAATTGCTAGATAAGGGGCAGAAAAATAATATTTGCTAGCTGCCAGGAGGTCTGGAATCTGCATCCCAGCCTTTTCATTCCCAAGTTCAGGACTCAGCCCCTTCACTCCCCAACCCCTGTCACCTGCAATCCTGGACCCTGTCCATATAATCCCTAGGACTTCAACTCTGTCTTGCCCTCACCTATGGCCCCCCAAAAGGAACCATCCTTCATCGGAAGATCCTTGAATTCCACTATGATCTGCTCTGCTCTTTCCATCACTGTTTTGTGACTCTTGATATCCAGGTGTTCAGGTAGGTAATTCTCTTTCAAGGACTTTAGTGCTGTCAAGACTGCCTGGTCACATATTACACAACAGTCCGCAGGAAGCAGGCAGCTGGCCAGTGCAGCCAATGGGAGGGCAAAACACAGCCCCATTGAGCCAGAGCACTCAGTAGAGGAAACACCAGGAGGGTCCTCTCACCCAGGTCAAGAGCAGGTGGTGCTAAATGGAGAGAAATCAAAGCCTGTCTTAGAGATGCTCCCCAGGACCTCACATCCTCAGTCTCCCCCATGGGAAAGGAGGATGTTCAGGAAATCTCCAAACCAAGAAGACATGTGTCCTTCATCAAATGACTCAGAGTGTGAAACTAATCCCCAATCCACAAAGCCCCAAATTGGGGGTCTTCATTGCATCCTCAGACATCAGAACACTCTCAACCGTTCCCCACATCAGGAACCAAGATCCCCAACCTGTGCAGACTCTCCAAGCTCCCAGTCCATGGGATCCACAGCTCCCGCCCCCGCCCAAATTAACGTGATCCTCAACTCCAAACCTTAAGTGTATCAACCCTCACATACACAAAGTCCCCAAACCCTGTTGCACCTCAAGCTGAAAAGTCCTTGTCCAGCTCAAATGAACTCTCCCGCAGGTTCTCAAAACTCCCTCAAGACCAAAGTACACTCCAGATCCCTTACCCTGGGGACCCCACGAATGTATGCAAGACTCCCAGCCACCCTCCTATCCCTCCTGTCCACCCTTGCCCAAGGCTACGACCTCTTATTTTCAGGGTGCACCTTCTCAGGAAATGGAGCCCCCAAAGCACCCTAAACGCGAGGCACCCTAATTAACTAGCTCCTCTCCGACCTTGATCCTTGACTTGTGCCCTCAAACCCAGGATTCGCTCAGGATCCCATTCAGACTGTGAGGAACCCGGTGCCGCGTCCTTCTGCCTTAATATTTCCCACGACTGTAACTCAGGTTTTGTGAGGGACAGTTTGGCTGCGTGAAGTCACCAGCTTTTGAAAGGGGTATGTGTCACGGGAGGTCCCGTTTCCACCAGGAACTCCTGTCAAGTCCCCACTGGAGATCCCAATTCTGAGAAAGTACTTCCTAGGGCCTTCTTTGGCCACGCCCAGAATCTCAACTCTGCTTCTGATTGGACCACAACAAAGGGAGACTCGCCTACCTCTCCATGACGTCACAGGGACGGTGACCTTTACAGACACCTTCATTCCAGCATCCACTCTAGCGAAGTGCATCCGTAGGCTCTGGCTTTCAGAGCCCAGGACCGGGCTTCTGGCCCTCAGCGTCCTCCCTTCCTGGGCCCTGGGGACCTGGATTCTGGCTTGGTGCCCCTGCCAGCCTCAAAGTTAGGGAAGGGGACATTTCCAGCCTAAGATTAGCACTGCCAGAGGCGCTGGGGTCTTTTTCTCTACTGTGACTGGCGCCCCAGTCATGGCGATTGATGTTCAGTAATGATTCTCTCTCCTCATTTCAATTCCACATTCTCCTCCCAGGTTAAGGAACGAACGTCCAGATCTCAGTGGGATGGGAGTTCTTGAGGCCATTAATGGGGGGTGCTAGAGAAAGGTATGGAGCGCTCCCACCCTTGGAATCCTGAAAGCGCTCTCCTTGCTTTCCTTCCTGCTTCAGGGAAACTCACAGGGTTTCAGCAGCGAAAGGGCTGCCAGATCTGAGTAGGAAGCAAAACCTAAAATATGAATAAAGACAATCTGGGAGCTCCCATCTTCCCTTCAGTGTTTTATCTTACACAGAGGGAGGGGAGGGGATGGGAGGGAGGACAGCTGCAGAGACAAGGGTTGGGAATGTAGAATTTTAATTCCTACCTCCCACTCTCCTCCCTTTGGTAGCTGCTTGGGTTGGTACCCTGAAATCCTGAGATCAGAGGCCTAGATTCCTGGAGGGGGAATGATTAGATTTGGCTGTGTCTGTTGAACCCTTTTCAAGGCACAAAAAACCAGCAAGGGCTCCTGAAATGAATCTAAGAGACTCGTGCTCTCTGGCCAGAACTTGTGCTCCTGCTGGGGTCTGACATGGGTTCAGAGGTCTTGGTATCTTCAGATCCTTTCATCTCAGACCTACCAGATTTAGTCCTTGAGTTCAGGGAACCACAGAGGCTGACAAGGAACAAATACCCTCTACAGAGACTTGCTGGTTGCCAGACATTAAAATCCAGATTCTCAGCATCCCAGCTAGAAAACAGGACACTTCCTTGATCCTAATCCCAGAGATAACAGATGCACATCCTGTGTTGGGAATTTTTGAGCTTGCAAATTAGAAGTCACCCTGACTCACCAGAAGATTCTGCTGCAGAATTTGTTGTACTTCCCCAATAGGTATTCCTCTCCCAAGTCCCATGTTTTATAATGTTTGTTTGAGGGAGAAAAAAAAAATAAAAGAATCTTGACTTTCCTCAGGAAATAACAGACATGGCTGTGGTGACAACTGCTCCAGCATTTCCACAGCACGTGAGCAGAGGAGGTTACTCAATGACACCTAGCATCACCCAGGGTTCAACAGGATTCAATCCCCAGTACATACTCAAAACAGACGATGGTTCACTAGAGGTCGTTTCCCAAATCTCGGTCATTCTGGCAGTGCGGGGAGTGTTGAGTATGGCAGTAGTCCCTTCATCAGATTCTTTGCAGAACAATGTAGAATTCTGGATCTTTATTCCCCAGTCTCTGCAGGGATATTCAAGAACAGTAGAGCTGGTTCTCCATAGAACAAACCCCAATGGGAATTAGTCCAGGAACCCTGAAGGAGAGCTAATGAGGGCCTGCTCTAGATCAGCCATGAGGTCCTTCAGTCTTCTGAACACCAGGGCAGAAGTAACACCTCTGCTAGAAAAGACCAGCAGAGTGGACTCTAGAAGGCAGGGTTCCCTGTTCTCAGGGGCTGCCACGCAGAAATACTATGGATATGATGATCAGGTGGGCACCGTGGCTTCTGGAGCCACCATGAGCTTCACTGGGCATTGCCAGCCATCAGAAAAGATGTTCTGCTGGTTGTAGGTGTTCAGGCAGCTCCAGGAAGACCCTACTTTTTTCCACCTCTGGCCAACTAGAATCTCTCTGGCCATGGGCACCACCTGCTCTGGGACCACCCCTGATTTCTCCAGAAGCTGCCAAGCCTCTGGAGACATGTCTGTCTGACTCTAGCCTGATGAGACCAGTCCCAAAAGTCTCCCTGGCTCCCAAGGCCCAGCCCCTGTCTGCACTGGAGACAAGTTTGCATTAATGCCCACCCCCCCAGGCGGGAAGGTAGCTTCAGGCTTGAAGACCTTCAGGAACTCTGAGTCTGGCAGGGTGAGGTTGGCAAGGTAGACAGTGTCTCCACCAGCCAGGTAGGCAGCCCAGAAGCCAAAGGTACCAGTGGTCCTGACAGTGTGGTTATACTGAATGACAAGGACCAAGGCTATCCCCCGTGAGCCACATCACCATGGGAGCATGAATATTTTCCCAGCACCTTCATGCCATAGATGGTGAACACAAAGATGGGGGCTTCATGCCAGGCCCAGAACCAGTCCATAGCCTGCTGAATATAAGCGCTGTCACTCACCACACCCTTCTAGCACTGGGCCAGCACCTGCAGATGTCTTCATGGTAGACAACAACAACCACAAATGTGTGAGGTCGGGTTCCAGTGAGCCTTAGGCAGAGCTGACCCAATAAATGCTGGGCCTCCTCCTGGAGGTTGTCATGAGGGGGAACTTCCTGCAGATGCTGGAAGAAAATCCAACAGCCAGGGAAACCAGAGAGCCACAGAGTAGCTTCTCCCATAACATCCAGCACAGGAAATTGGTGCTGCCAAGATCAACCCACCACCCCACTAAAATGGACTCTCCCCTACCATCATCCTCAAAGAATGAAGCTCTCCAAGGAAACATTCCTCCATTTCCACAATGCTGGCCCCGCTTACTCATTATTCTGCCCTTAAGATGGAGCCTTACAGATATTTCCCAATTCACTAAGATATTTCCCCTCTCTCAATATCCCAAAGGAAACAGATGTTTTAAAAGTCACTCTGGAAGAGAGTTAATGAGTGCTTGCTCTAGATAAACCAAGGGTTCCTTCAATATTCTGAACACTAGGGCAGAAGTAACATCTCTTGGAGAAAAGACCATCAGAGTGGACTCTAGAGGGAGGGTTCCCTCTCCTGAGGGGCAGCCATTCAGAAGACTTAAACAAAGGTAACAACCCAAACAAAGGGTGTTCCATTGCCTAGACCGGTGAAGGTGCATTTCTAAGGTGAGCCCTTTCCACAGTGCATTCTCTCAATTATTCCCATCCCTTACAAGGAAGCCTGCTCCAACAATGGACTCCTCTATTTGCCCTCACTCCCTTGTAGGAGGACTCCAAAGACACGCCCACAACATCAACAGAGGTTCTCACTATGCCCCTCCTTATAGGGGACACCTCCTAGAGATTTCCATAGAGTGGCTCTTCTAGTAATCATGCTTTCAAACACCTGCCTCAAGGAGAGAGCTTCCTACTTCATCCACTCCCCGAAAAGATGCATTCCAAAGAATCTTTCTTAAAAAGGTGCTCTTGTCTCCATTCTGTAAAAATGGAAGCAGTGTGTCGCCTTTACAAAATAAACCTAAGTCTGTGTGCATGTATGAATGTGTACCAACTAATTCCATCAATATATAAAACTATAATGTAACAAAGTAAAATAAAAATACATAAGTAAAATAAATCTAAAGTTCAAGTTCTCCCATTGTCACCCAAATGTGTAAATGCATAGAAGTGCCAGCACCCCCTGCCTGCATCCACAGTGGTCAAACGTCCCAGTGAAAACCATCACCTTTTACAAATGGGTTCATCCACTCCCC